GCCTTGCTGCTGGCCTTGCTGAGACGCCGCTTGTCGCTATGTGTAACCGTGCAGCGGGCGGGGTCCCGGCGAGGGGGCGTGGCCGGGCAGCCCGGGCTTCGCGCTGCCGTACCGCAGGTGGATGAAGCCTTCCGGGGGGGCGGGCTCGGGGTCCCGGCCCGGCTCGGCGGGGGGGCGGGGGGCGGTGCCGGCGGCCGGGGCGTCCGCGTCCGGTCGCGGGGGCACGACGGCGCCGCCCGGGGAGAAGGGGCCGTAGAAGTCGCCGCCGCCGCCGCCGGGGCCGCCGCGCAGGCACTGGTGGAAGTCGGGCGGCGGGGTGCAGCTCGGGCCGGGCCGGGGATCGGGGAGCCCGGCCGGGCCGGGCTTCGATCTCGCGAACCGCTTCCGGATCTTCTTCCAGCCCAGGTGGTAGAGCTCGGCCAGGCTGAGGAAGAGCGAGAGCGCGGCCACGGCCAGCATGAAGACGATGAAGACGTTCTTCTCCGTGGGCCGGGACACGTAGCAGTTGACCGGGTGGGGACACGGGCTGCGGCGGCACACGTGCAGCGTTTCCAGAAAGATCCCGTAGAGCAGGTACTGGCCCACCAGGAAGGCCACCTCCAAGGCGGTGCGCAGCACGATGGCGCATGCGTAGGTGTGCAGCAGGCTGCCCTTGAGGATGACCTTGCCGCTGGCGTCCTCCCAGCAGAGCGGCTCGGCCTTGGGGCACTGGCCGCCGCCGCCCGCGCGCTCGGCCTCGGCCTCCCGCAGCCTCCGCTTCTCCTGCCTCCGCACCGTGTGCACCGCGTGGCCCATGTACACGAGCGACGGCGTGGACACGAAGATGATCTGCAGCACCCAGTAGCGGATGTGCGAGATGGGGAACGCCTGGTCGTAGCACACGTTCTGACAGCCGGGCTGCAGGGTGTCGCAGCGGAAGTCGGCCTGCTCGTCCCCCCACGACGACTCGGCCGCCGTGCCCAGCACCAGCATGCGGAAGATGAACAGCACCGTCAGCCACACCATTGCCAATCACAGTCGAGTGCTTATGCACCTCCTCCAGGACGTCCCCAG